AGAGGATCTAGCTTGGATTCCTGGTCGGCAAACAGTAAGGTAGGAAACGAGCAAAAATCTGAAGTTCACCACGTTCATATCCGGAAAGTTGCGGGCTCTATGCCCGATCAACGTAACAGGGTGCGCCCACCAAACCAGGCTTAGCGTTCCGGGATAGATACAAAAAAAATCCTCAGAACCACACTCCAATGATGTAAAACAGAATGTGGTGATTCATTTCTCCAATTCCATTCAGAGACATTCTGTGGTGGGGGGGAGGAGGAGGAGGAGGAGGCACGAGTCTTTGCTGAGTCTGTGGCAGGTGGTTCAAGCAGACTCGTGATATCAGCTTCTTCAATATGGATGAGCTCCAGCGAGGAATCTCCCCGAACATGGTGGCGTCCATGATGAGCCACGACAGGTGCGCTGGTTTGGATGAGTGTACAGACGATGATGATGATGACGATGACGATCGATGACGATGATGATGACGATGACGACGGTATAGGTTGCTCGGGTCCCTTCCGCCATCAGAAGAATTCCTCAAAGAAGGTCTGCAAGCGTTGGACTAGATCGTGATACTGGATATAATACTGATGGAGGAGGAGGAGGAGCAAGAGAGGAGGAGCATGATGATGATGATGATGACGACGATGGTGATGATGATGATGATAATTATGATGGTCCAGGCATTGTAGAGAAAAGAAGCCAGGAGAAGAAGTGGCAAGAGAGGAGGATTATCCTGACATCAACACACATCATCTTGACAACGCAAGGGTCGGACATGATCAAAGACAGCATCTTTCTGCGAGATGTCTCCCTTGCTCGGTCTCTTCTCTCCTCTCAGTGAGTTGTCGATGACTTCACTACAGGTCAGTGAGCCACCTCGACGGTCATCGGTTTGACCTGCTGGACCGAATGAAAGAGCATGAGGAGGAGAGGGAAATCGAGTGCGGGCAATCGCAGAACGGAGGATCGTTCAGAGGCAAAGTCAAACAGGTCGCGCACGTCGACAGCTTCACGTTCGAAGTTCACACGAGGGAAGAGAGTGAGAGCTGCGGGAGGGTCTACGTCTTCCGCAGCTTTGACGAGAAGGAGACAGACGACTGGGTCAAGATGATCGACGAGCAGGCGAAGCTCTCTATGGATAGCGCTCTACACGACAGGCTCGGAGAGTTCGAGAGGATGCGCTACAAGATCGCCATGTTCTACGACAGCAACCCAGTGCAGAGCGTCGTCGCCTTCCTCATCACCATCAACTTCTTGGCTAACGCGGCGCAGTCGGAGCTCCTTCCTAAGGAAGGCAGCAGCATGGCGAACTTCTTCGCTGTGCTCGACGATCTCTTCACGATCCTCTTCACGATCGAGCTGGGGCTCAACCTCATCTCTCACTGGTTCTGGCCCTTCATCTCCGACGGCTGGTCCGTCTTCGACTTCGTCATCGTCTCCATCTCCCTCATCGCCATGATTGTCGGCAACCTCCCGGGCGTCAAGTCGCTTCGCCTCATGCGAGCCTTCCGCGTCCTCCGCCTCTTCGGCCGCCTGCAGTCGCTGCGGCAGATTATCACCGCACTGACTCACTCCATCGTCCCCGTCCTGAACGCGTTCCTCATCATGCTCCTCGTCACTTGCATCTACGCCATCCTCGCCGTCAACTTCTACAGCGACCGGAGCCCCGAGTTCTTCGGCTCTTTTCTCGCGCCTGCTTCACCCTCTTCCAGGTCTCCCTCCCTCCCTCCCTCCCTCCCTCCAGTCCTCCCTACCTCCCTCCCTACTCCATTCCTCCCTCCCTCCCCTCATCTCTCCTCCAGGTCTGCACGGGCGACGGCTGGGCGAGTGAGATCGCTCGTCCAATCTTCCATGACGGCAGTGGAGGAGACGGGAAAGATCACCTGGGGCTGGACGGGAATGTCGCGTTGTTCTTCGTCTCCTTCATCGTTATCGTCGGTTGGACCCTCCTCCAGGTCTCCTCTAGTCTCCTCTCGTCTCGTTTCGTCTCTTCTCCTCTCCTCCCCTCCCCTCCCTCCCTCTCTCTTTCTTTGTCTCAATTTTACTAGTTCTGTTTCTCTGTCCCCTCCTTCCTCTCTTCCCTCTTTCATGTCTTCTGCAGGTCGTCGTTGCCGTTCTCCTTGACAACTTCACCGCCGCAGCAGAGTGAGCAGAGGAGGAGGAGGAGAGGGAAGGAAAGGAAGGAGGAGAGGGAAGGAAAGGAAGGAGGAGAGGGAAGGAAAGGAAGGAGGAGAGGGAAGGAAAGGAAGGAGGGGTGTGGAAGGGGCGGGTGTTTAATCTCATCCTGCTGGCAGGGCGGAAAAGGAGGACAAGATCAGGCAGAAGAATTTGCAGGAGGGACGTGCGCTAGTCGTGTTTGCCATCGACCCCCTCCTGGTCCTGCTATACTACCCCTTACTCTTCGTCTTCTTCTCCCTCTCCTCCTCCACTTCCTCTGACGTCTCAGCAGGCGGCGCTCGCTCACTTCGACACCTCGCAGGATCTTTCTGATCGCATCTCCATGCTCTTCAACATCCTCGACACCGACGACTCCAACACCCTCAGCTTCGAGGAGCTCTCCTACGGTCTCCGCAAGCTCAAGGTCCCTCTCCTCTCCTCTCCCCC